GAGAACATCAGACAGCCAAGGGGCAGAAGAGGTGGTACGAGCTGGCCTGGAAGACAAGGGGCAGACAGTGTCTAAACAAGACGTAAGAGTGGAGCAGAAAGTATCAGTAGCACTGTTAACATCAAGAGATGATAAATGTTCAGGGGAAGGAAGCAAAGATGAAACCATAGCACAAATCCTCACATATACCATTTTTCTCTAAGAAGGAATATAATTGTGAGGATACTACCTTTTCTAGTATCTTGGACAGAAAAGGGAGATTCGAGATCGGTCTGTAATTAACTAGTTCTTTGGGGTCCAAGTTGTGTTTTTTTGATGAGAGGCTTAATAACAGCCAGTTTGAAGGTTTTGGGGACATATCCTAATGACAATGATGAATTAATAATAGTCAAAGGATCTATGACTTCTGCAAGCACTTATTTTAGGATCTCCTTTTAGGAGTGTGTGTGTGTGTGTGTGTGTGTGCGTGTTTGTTCGTGTGTGTGTGTGCTTGTGTGTTTTTGTGTGTGTGAGTGTGTGTGAATCTGTATCTGATCATGTCTGGTGTTTCAGGGAGGACATGCACCTGCAGATTCTCAAAGCGTTCGTGGAGCTGCACGAGTTTTCAGATCTTAACCTGGTTCAGGCGTTACGGTGAGAACACGAGCTCTTCTTCATCCACAGACGAGCAGCTGAACTCGTCTCATTTCTATTCGTCTCGTTCTTTCGCAGACAGTTCTTGTGGAGTTTCCGTCTGCCGGGTGAAGCTCAGAAGATCGACCGCATGATGGAGGCCTTCGCCACACGCTACTGTAACTGCAACGCCAACGTCTTCCAGTCCACAGGTCAAACTCACTCACACCTTAATATCTAATGACTGATAAACAGGTAATACATTAAAAAAATATTTAGGTCTACATTTAAGATTTATGTATTTGAATTGCATATACATTTTCCATGTATTTACACAGTTTGAACAGAAATAAAAATTTTAAAAATAATGCATATCTGTCAATCACACATTAACAGATTTCCCATACAGCAAAAAATGTATTTTCAAATATATATAAAAATATACAAAAAATGGCCAATATATATCCATTTTTGTCCAGTTTTTTTCGCATATTTAAAAAAAAAAAGAAAAAAGAAAAGAATATATATTTAAAAAAAACACATTCACATTTGTCACATTTGAAGAAAAACTTTATTTGTTGTCTGTAACACGTATGAATATAACACAATTATAATATATTGAGATTCACTGCTTACAACATATATTTGGCATGTATTTAAAATAGATTTTGGTCACAAAATTATATTTTGCCATATGAGTTATTCTGCTTCTAAGGGATTTAAATAAATGCAGTGAATATATAATTATGTAAATAAAATCTGATGAATACAAATATTTAATAAAATGACAAATAGACTGACAAATACAGTATGCATCACATTAAGTTGATTAGTTTATGTTAATAATGTGCAATTCAAATGGACATATTTATGCAATTCAAATTTAGACCTGAATATTTTTTTGATTGAATGACAAATAATTTGACATTAAATTAACTCATAATAATAACTTTGAGTTTATTATGTATTGGCAAATCAATTAATTAATCAAGCAGATACTGATAATCTCATATTAGTCAAATATCATTGAGTTGGCTGATCAGTCTGAGCTGAAGTTGTTGAAAGCGTTTGTGTTGTGTGTGATTGTGATCGTTAGACACGTGTTATATCCTGTCATTTGCCATCATCATGTTGAACACGAGTCTGCACAATCCCAACGTGAAGGACAAGACCTCGCTCGAGAGATTCATCAGCATGAACCGCGGCATTAACAACGGACAAGATCTGCCCGACGACCTTCTGACGGTGAGCAGCCAATCACAATCCACCCTCGCTGGTCACATGATGCAGGCTTGAGCTCGTTTGCCCTCCTTTTACAATCACAATGTTATACTTTGTACATTGGATTATAATAAATAAATAAATGCTAATGTTATGTTCAAGTTTGTTTTAAGTCATGCACCTTTTAGACACAGCATTGTTTGGACTGTTTTGCTGCATTTCTCCAACCATTGCATCTCTGATCAACACAGTAATGTTTTATTCCTGAATGATTCAGTGTTTTTAAACAAATTTCAAAGTGAGTCAATGATTCAATAAGCCATACATGAAGGCAGTTGCTGAATTCGATGGCCTAAATAGTAACACTTGTACACGGTTCTGAAATCAGCAAGTCACTCTATTCCTGAACAAATCAGCCGTTTTAAATGAATCAGTCGAATGAGGGAAGTAAGGATTTGTCGCAACCTACTATTGGGTTTAGTTTCATATGTAAGGTATCATCTCAGAGTTCTATTTTAAGTATATTTTATATTTAACATTAATCTTCTAACATTATTTTTGCAATTGTAAATGCAGTGTAAATGCATTCATTGCATGTCTGAGCTGCATTAAGCACTCTACGTAAATGCATCTAAATCCTGCTTTAAATGCAGTTTCTTTGCCACTTCTGCAGTGCAAAGATGGATTTTGTTGATATTCATTTTATTTGATTGGTATCAGCCCTGTAGTGTCTTACTATTCAGATTGCATTTATTGAATAAATATATGAATCTCCATGAAAGATGATGCATACATTTAATAACACTGAGTCGATGTCTTGTGAGAATGAGCACAAATGACACCCTGGTGTTAATTATTCGTCAGTTGTCAGTGGCGGTGTATATTTACATAAATAAGCAGAACTAACAGAAAGGTCGTGGTTTTGATGTGTTTTGGTGAAAATGTGTGTTTTTTTTTTTTGCATCAACAGAATCTGTACAACAGCATACGCAACGAACCCTTCAAAATCCCAGAGGATGATGGGAACGATCTGACGCACACCTTCTTCAACCCGGACCGAGAGGGCTGGCTGCTCAAACTGGGTAAAACCAGCTCAGAAGAGACCAGATGCATTAGATATTATAAAGACTAAACTCACAGAATTCACTGCTGACTACAGAAAACAAACTGATTTTGATCTTCACTGCTGATAACATCAACAGTCAAGTCTATAAAATCAAGAACTGATTTTTTAATATTTACATTTAATCATTTAGCAGACACTTTTATCCAAAGCGACTTACAAATGAGGACAATGGAAGCAATCAAAATCAACAAAAGAGCAATAATATGCAAGTGCTATAACAAGTCTCAGTTAGCTTAACGCAGTGCACATAGAAAGGTTTTTTAAAATTATATAATAAATAAAAAGAAAACAGATAAAAAATAGAGCAAGCTAGTGTTAGAGGCCTTTTTTTGCTTTTGTTAATTGTATAATAACAAATAGATAGAATACAAAAATAGTAGAGAAGCTAGTGTTAGTTTTTTTAATTTAATGTATTTTTTTTAAAGAAAACAAGCAGTTAGTAAATGAATAGAGTGCAAGCGTGTGTGTGTGTGTGTGTGTGTGT